CCCCCCCCCCCCCCCCCCTGCCGCCCGGCCATGCCTTCCTAGCCTAAGCATAGCGGCCCTAGAGTGGGAGAAGAAGCCATGCAAGAAGTTATGACTCCAGCCAGGCTATAAAAAATGGTTTTTGCTGCGGCGGCCGGAAGCCCAGCTACACCCAGGGTTCCCTGGGTGTAAGGGGGTTCAGGTTAACGGCCGCGACTTTCGCTGAACCTTGCCGCAACCCTAAACCCTAAACCCTGAACTCAATACCCTAAACTCTTACTGCCACACTTGCGCAGATCGCGCCGCTGAGGTGGGAGGCTCTGTGGTAGCTTACCGCAGAAGCTATGCCGGAGCAGGCCAGAGCCTCCGTCATACAACCAGAGATTCCTGTAAAATTGGGGGGGTGCATAAACTCTTCTTTTTAAATGAAGGACACGCCTCCCGGGTGTGCGTGTCTTGGCGAGCAGGATTCCAAGTACAACGCTCAACAATCCATTTTTTGGTCTCCAAACTGGGGGGGCCAGCCATCGAACCCCCCACCCCTCAAAAAATTGGGGGGGACCAGAGGCAAAACGGGCTCCGCATGCCCCCTCCCCATATTTTGGCGAACAAGGTAGCTGCAGTGTCCAATCGCAGCATCCTACGATCAGCGCCTGCGCGTCGATAGAGGGGAAGCTGTAGATGACATTTTCCGGCTCTAGCCTCAGTCTGTGAGAGCACAAGTGATGAATGGCTGTACACGTTACAAGAGGGAAGCGGCGCTGTGGAAGAGCAACAGGGCCAGAGCACATCTCTGCATGCTCCTAACCTGTGCATAAACGGGCGTAGAGGCATTGCAACGATGGCCGTCTTGCGCTCCGGATCTGGTGCTCGATGACTTTAGCCCCGTCGTAAGCCACGATTCTGCGTGCTTATGCTTGGTGCATTGTGGACGAGCTCACATGTGCCAACGTGCCAGGGCCGTACACATTAGGGACTGCAGGGTCCATGCGCAAGAGTTTGGACCTCGTAATGCCGCAATGCATGTGAACTTCAGGTTCCATGTGCTTTCAGTTCGCGTACAGGAATTGACAGGGCCTTTGAGGCCTGCGAGCCTGCAGAACGCAGGCAATCGCAGAACAGGCCATGTGGATTGAAATGGCCACTGAGGGCTCTGCAGCTGCACCTCTCTTTGCTGGACCTCCTGCGCATTCATGCAGCCATGGATTCTCCAACAGGCTGTCATCCAGTATTTCCGTAGCCCGCTGCACAGCTGCCAAAGCTCTTTTAAGCGATCATGCGCAACAGCCGAATATGTGGGTTCCCACAATTTATAAGAACTGAGCCCTTGAGATCGAGATCTACATCTACTCTTGCATTGCATGTCTGTGCTTTGAAGGGATCTACCTCGAAGGGAGTATTGAAAGGTCCGTGGCATGGATGTGTCAGGGGTCGTGTCCCTTCGAGCTGTACGATTGACGCCTCATGAGCCAAGAGGTGTAATGTCAATTCAATGGCTTCGCTCATGTTGGCCCAGCTGTGCTTGACCAGCTTTTCAACTGCACTTGCCGTTAACACCTACACAGGACCTACACAGCTTCTTCATCCCAATACCCGCCCAACCGAAGCATGTTAAACTGACCCAGAGTCCACGATGTCCAAATTCGGGCTGTCCCATTTGGGGACGCGTGATTTCGCTGGGCGGGGCCTTAATTGCACTTCATCATTGTGCATCTGGTGCGCAGCCTGTAGACTTCTGGGTCCATCCAACAAAAGATAGAGCTTAGAACGCAGAAGGGAGGGCTCATTTACGATAAGAGCCCCCAGCTCTGATAAGCCGACAGTTGCAGGCTCCGAACATGATGCGCCTCTAAGTTTCCTGCGTTCGGCATCTTGCCTTGGACCGTGCGCAGCGCGCCCAGCTCTTCATGCTTGGCACTCCGTTCCCTGCCTCCCTCTTGGCCCGGCCGGCGCGGCCCAAGAGTTGAGCCCTGAAGAACCGGGGCCCTGAACACAAAGCTCTACCCTTTGTATCCTTGGATTCAGCGCCCAAAAGGCCCACTGCCCGCAGAGGCCTCAAGGCGAGATCTGGGCCCTCCGACTTCCAAGAGAAGTGCTGCCTCCCTGACCCACCGGCCCCTTTTGAAAGCGGAACGGAAGGAGTCCGAAGCCCCTAAAACCCCTAAACCCCTAAGGCCCTAAACCCTAAACCCAGGCAAGTTCCACTAAATTCGGGCTGGGACCTTCATGAAGCCCTGAGACGCACGCGCCGGAGTCCCCGGAGGCCGCGGCCCCGGAGGCCGCGGCGCTGCCAGCGACGCCGCCGAAGGCACCAGGACGAGGTTCCTGGGATTAGAATCCTTGCCAAACCTGACAGGCCTTAATTTTTCTAAGGGTCCTAATTACCCAGCTGTGGAACAGGTCCTTGCCCAAGGACTGTTTTGTATCCGAAGACCCCGTTCATGCTTCGACAGAATCATAGGAAGAGGTTTTGCGTGGGGGGGCAATTGGAAGAGTTTGGATGTTTCCTTCTACCTGGCTCATGGATCCAAAGCGTGGATTTTCAAACATGTTCCTCCATGCCCCGGCATGGCAGCGCTTGCATTTCAGAATCTGGCTGTGCAGACTGTGGAGACGGTGCTTGTAAGCAAGGAAGCGAACCCTTGCATTTTGTTGAAACGATGGTGCCGCAGCACGGCTGGTGAAGGTCAGGCATGACTTCAGCCATCCACAAGGAAGCGAAAGAGGCGCACTCCTCTTCAAGCAGTTGCAGGCACCACAAGACAAGTGACGGTATAGTCACGGGCTCTCTTTTCAGCTGCAAAAACGCAAAACCCTGCGGCTTTTCAGTCAAGTCCCTGCTCGGTGCACAAACAGGCCTGGCAAGAAGCTCGTGTTAACTACGTGTTCTGATTGCTCCTGACAGGAAGCCCAAAGGCAAGGCTTCAGATGCACAGCAGGGACCTGCATTCCCGGCCCAGGCACGCAGTCAGTGAAGCCACTGCCAGGTCGTCCCAAACGCTGCCCTGTCAGCAGGTGCTTGTCTGCAGGACAAGGCTGCGGCGCGGCAGGACGTGTCGGAACCTGGAACTCAGTTCTTCCCTCCGGAAATCCATATATATTTCACCCCAAGCAGGAAAGTCTGATTGAACACGTATCAAAGACTTGCCGGTTCTTTAGAGACAGTTCAGCCAAAAAGGGACCCCGGGCTGTGGGCCATCCTTCCTTCGCACTGTCTACTCAATCTGGCACCTGGCCCCGAGGATATCCCTTCAGCTCGCCGCTTTCTTTTGGAAGCGGTAGGGCTTAGGGTTAGGGGTTTAGGGCTTCACTCCCGGCCGATTGCCTCTCAGCAGAGTTCTCAGCGTACGGTCAGCATATGTGCAAGTTTTGGGGGGCAGGAGGTGCGGGAACGGCAGAGACCCTGTGAGATGAGCTAAGCCAAGCAGCTAAGACGGCCGCCTTGTGATCTTGCAGCCTCGGAGGAAGCCCTGGCGCGAGAGAGATAGCACAGCGCAGCACTCGAAAGAAAAAGTGAGGGTTTGAGCAGTCACGGGGCTGCCTCCCAGGTTTAGGGTCCAGTAAGAAAGGAACTGTCCTCTCCGCAGCCCCGTTTGGCCCAAAAATCGAACCGAAAACCCTCGACGATTCTGGTCGCAATGTTTCGAAGGCTGTGCCTGCAAGCTTTGCTCTGTGCTTGTTGGCGCTGCAAAGCCCTTGAGCAGTCTGGGGAGCATGTCGATCTACTACAGCGCGGGTCACCTTCCTGCGCCATTCCATCTAGGGTTTAGGGTTTATTGCTTGGGGCCAGGGTTCAGGGTTTAGGGTAGAGGTATCCCTGAAGCAGCCATTTTTGCCAACTGAGGCTCATGTTGAACAAGGACGCCGGCGCCGGTGCCCTTGCCACAGGAAGCAGTTTCGGCAGCACTTTAGCACCTTTGCCAATGAGCCTTGGCAAAGCAACTCTGGAAGTGTTGTGCTGGGAGCCGCCCAAGAATTGTTGCAACCTCTCATGCTTCAGGACTTGGTTTCATATCGTGCAGGGCGGCAGCATTGCGAACATGCTTGTTCACATGCCTGGCTTTTGCCCTGGAGTGCCTTTGAACGTTTCAGTTGGCAAGGACGACTTCGGCGGGAGCTGTTACCTAAAACATTTCATTGAGGCTTGCCCGGGCTTATGTGATCCAACACATTTCCGTTGCCCGCCAAGCCTCGCAGAGTGTGTGGGGAGCCGGTACCCTGAGCAGAAAGGGCACCTGGTGGGAATGTTCCGGCAGCCAGAACAGCGCATTCTCTCTGAATACTACGACTACAAGGAAGAGCTCTTCTTTCCAGGCGCCCCGCTTCTTTGCAACTACACGCAACATCCGCACAAGCTGGATCCGGAAGAAGTTCCGCCTGTCCTGGAGTATGCGGAGCTTGTCAGAGGCGAAGTCGTCTTCCAACTAGTGGGAGACTGCAGTCCTGGGGATCACATGTTGGGGAACATCGGGCTCCAGTTTCGAATGTTTTAGGGTTTAGGGTTTAGGATCGTTCTTTGTTTAAAGGGCCCATTCTGCTTTCCTCATGTTCAATTCCCAAGGAGCTAAGAGCAAACTTAGTCTTTCAAGTAGGTTTTAACTGGCTGTCTGAGGAATCGGTGGGCAATGAGGGATGAGTGGAGGACTCAGAGCAATGCGGAAGAGGCTGCCCGGCGGGTGCGCGAGGGCTTCGCCTTCGTAGGCGTCATGGAGGAGTCGACCTTGAATTTAAGCGGCTGTGTTAAACTTTCAAAGTTGCTAAGTCTGCTAAGTTTCTTTCCGTTCTCGATCACACATGGTAGATGTGCAACTTCGAAATACCCCTCCCCAAACTAACATGGAACCTGAAATAGGGGCCTTTATGGACAGCTGTCCTCTTTAAAGAGTTTGGGGGAGAGTGTTGCCCCGTTCCTTTAACTCCTTTTGGAGGGTGCTCTTTGATATCTCTGGGTGTTTCTAAAGCACGTTCCTCTGCCCTGGAGGAGTGGGACCTTTCCATTTGCCTGTTTCACAAGATGTTCGGAGGCCCCTGCAGGGCAGATGACTTTGCAAACGAGCATCCCACGCCGAATGCTAACAAGACTGCCGAGGGTTTGTATGACACGGCCCCGCTGCAGGGATTTCATGATGATTCTTCTCTGCACTGGAAGGTGTTTGTTCCACGTCTGGTTTTGTTGAAAGCGTGAGGAGCCACAGAAGTTTTGGGTTGCTCGGGTTAAAACCGAGCAGGACCTGGACGGGATCGTGTACCAACAGGCGCTCCAGTCCTTCAGGCAGAACTTGCTCAAGTACAACGTGTCCATCGAGTCATGTCAATTTTGTTTTGCAGAAGCGGGGCGTAAGTCCTGATTGCTTCTGCTGCTGCGCTGAAAGCGTTGAGACTTGGCTAAAGCCTGAACCCGAAACCCTAAACTGTGCGGAAAGTCGGCAATACTAACAACAATGCGACACACGTATCATGTTGTTGAACTATAACTACAACATGAAATGAACATAATTCAATGTTGTTGAAGAGATGAAATTGTATGACTTATAACTTATAACTCTAGATAAATAGTTCTCGAACAATAACAATTTAACTACATTCAGCAATAGCTATGATTTGAATATACAGCAACAAGCAAGTATATACATTAACAAAAACACCCTAAACCCCAAACCAGGGTTTGGGGCTTATTGGGTGGTCCCCAAACCCTTTCTGGCAGCTAAGGATCTTATTTTGGAGGCTCTTTCTGGTTTAGGGTTAAGGGCTGTGAGGGTTTAGGGCTGTGAGGGTTTAGTTTAGGGTTTATTGGGTGATCCCCAAACCCTTTCCAGCAGCTCCGGTCATTGCCCCAACGTGAATTTTGCAGGATAGGCCGATGGGCACCACTTGGAGGTTCATGGGTAGTTGTAAGTGGAGTTATAAGTCCCTTAATATAGATTATAACTATAGTTACCCTACTTATAACCCTACTTACGCTACCCATGAACCTTCAAGTATAGGGCCCCTTATACCCCGTTATAGGACCCCTTTATAGAGCCCTTATAGTGCCCTTACAGATCCCTTAAAGGAACCCTGCTTATAACTACCCATGAACCCTAAACCCCAAGCCCTATAGAATCCTTAAAGGAACCCAAAGAACCCTACTTATAACTACCCCTTGACCCTGAACCCTAAACCCTATCCCATGAACCTCCAAGCAAGGATGGGAAGGAGATCTGCCACCTGACGGCTTGACAGACACGCTGCTTTAGAGCCAACCTGGAGATTGCCGGTGGAAAATTTGCAGTTGCAGTTTAGGGTTTAGGGTTGAAAGTTTAGGGTTTAGGGTTTAGGGTTTCAGTTACTTGCTGGGTTGCAACGCCATGTGCCATGAGGCTGCCCGCATATGTTTTCCACAGCACACATGGAATCTCAGCCATTTCAGCGCGCTTTTCTGGATTTTCGGGGTTCAGGGCTGTGAATGATCGACGTGAGTCCAAGCATACTTGTGCTTTTTGAAGCAGAAAGCTGCCATGCCAATTGCAGCCATATGGCAGAACCGCACGCACTTGGCACAGCTTTCGCAGAGAGAGAGATCAGTATGCTTACTATTGTCATTGTTTTTCATCCTGTTCCTGCATGCATTGCAATTTCTGAAGCGACCGCTGCTTTTGCCAATGACATTACGAATGTTGTTTCGGACTTATCACAGCCACGACAACAAGACAGAACGGTTCGATGAGCCATTCTGAAAGAGGTCCGCCGCAGGTTTTTGCTTTCAGCAACGAAGCTTTGTTGCGCCACGGGTTGCCCGCCCTTGAAATTTTCCGGCAGCTCGGTCGCGCATCATGTTGGCAGCATCAAGCCTTCACATCTTGGTGGTGATGTGGGCTAGCTGCCAGTGTTTCATCCGAACTGGGTAGACCAAGAAGACCCTATCGAAACGTCAGAAGTCGTCAGTGCCCAGGGCGACGGACTGGGCGGGCTCACCCGGAACTTGGACTTCCTTTTAACAAAAAGTCGCTCAGCTTGCAACCCTTGCGGAGCTGCAGCAGGCGGAGATTGCATCATGGAAGACCAGCGCCAAGATGCATCTCATGGAGATCGAATCTTTGAAGAAGGTGACGGGCTTGAGGGAGGCCGACCCGAAGCACCTTGGGATTCTCCTGGAAGAGGCACAGTCTCTGCACAACAACGCCGAGAGCCACCTGCATGAGACGACGGAGATCATGAAGAAAGTCTGGAGCAAGCACGAGCGACAGCGCCGGACGGGACTCCGGGCCTTTTTCATTAGTTGCGGTCTAGGGTTTAGGGTTTAGGTTCATGTTAAGTTTAGTCCTGGCCACCGATGGTCTTTCCCATTCCACGTTGTATCGTAGGGATTGCAGAAGGAAGAACATCCCGCAAACCTGAAACCCTAAACCCTAAACCCGAAACCCTAAACCCTAAACCCCAAAGAACCCAAAACCCAAAACCCAAAACCCTAAACCCTAAACCCTAAACCCCTAAACCCAAAAGCCCAACAGCTTCGGGGGAGAGCCCAGGAGAGTTCTCCATCCGCGCCCCGAGGATTCAGCGGCCGGTCTGCAAGCAACCGGTCTTCTTGGGTTTAGGGTATAGGGTATAGGGTTTAGGGTTAGATAACAACAGCATGATTTCACCAAGCTGGGGCACCTAGGGAGTTCAGGCAGCGATTCAAGACCGAAACCATGGTTTCTGGAACCCGAAGTCTTAATGATTTTCGACCGCGAGACCCCTAAAACCATAAAAGCCGTAATCCCTAAACCCTAAACCTTAAACCTTAAACCCTTATCGAGTTCCCTGACAAGCCCTTACCCCAAAGAACCCTGAAACTCCAAAACCTAAGAATGCTTTGAGCCCCAAATCTCTAAACCCTAAGACCTACCCCCCAACCCTACATCCTCAACCCTATACCCTCAACACACCTGATAAATTCAAGCTGTATGTTCCAACAGGTACATTCTCAATAAGATAAGCAGCATTAGTTTCATGGCAACACGGGTTCAATGCACGAAAGTGCACTGAATTTCCTCGGGCATCCATCACTTCAGTTTACTTGCACCACCCCCACGGCGAAAGAATCAGCCCGCCGAAAACTTTTAGGATTTTAGGGTTTAGGGTTTAGGGAACCCTAAACCCTAAACCCTTACCCGAGATTGTCAAGACATGTTCAACATATCCCAGACTTGGAGAGTGAGCAGTTTCAAAAACTGGGGGCCAGGTGCATCAGCACTTGCCGAAGCGTGCATCAAATCAGGGTTTCAACAGGGAAGACATGCAAAGGAACGTGTTTGGGGAGTTGAAACGGGGAGCACTGCATAAACAATGGATTTGGAGGGCAACACTGTGCGAAAAGAGCAAGATGAGCACCCAAAAACAGCAACAAAGGCGCTCAACTTTTGAACCCGCCCACAACTTTATAATCCTCAACTCTGTACCCTAAGCCCTCAAGCAAAGATAAATAGAAACTGTGTGTTCTGACCCCTAATTGGATAAGTAGCAAATTCAAAAGACGCTGCGTTCTTGTTAAGGAATTTGGTTAGCTCTGTCATATTTAGGAAACAACTCGTTCACTGCATATCTCTTGTATGGTAAGCAACATCTACGCAGTTCCTTCAGACAGAGCCTAGGATACATCAGGATGAGCGGGGATAAGATGACGCGGAGTGCAACACGCGGTTTCGGCCCCCTTCCAGCACACTGGCTGTCGGAGCAGTTCACTGTAGTGGATGCTGGATATGGCCAAGTTGCTTTCTACAGCGCCAAGTGGGGCCGCTTCATTAGACTGTCCGGGAGCAAGTTGAAGACCACTTCGAAGAGGGCCGCTACGAACCTGCCAAGCCACTGGGCTTCCCCGCGCTTCACGGTGCTTCCTGCAGGCCATGGCACTTTTGTCTTCCACAACACCGACGAAAATCGCATGATCCGAATGACGGACAAGGCCATTTAGCCAGTTGGGCTTTAGCGTACATAGGGTGTATAGTAGGGACTTTTCAACTGTAGGTGGTTCTGGTATAGTGCCCCCGGGATGGGTAGGGACCTTCGAGCCGTGAGAGGTCATGGGCAGCAGCGCCACAAAGGATCCCCAGGACTTGCCAGACAGCTGGAGCTGGGAGCGCTTCAAGATCGTCGTGGTCAGCGAGGCCACGCAGAAGGCCGAGGATGTGAGCTGGAGCTTTGACTTAGCCATGGTCCCAGAGACGGCAACCGAAAGTGTAAGAAAGTGTAAGCAAGAATTCTGGCTTCCGATCATGGAGATCCGGCAGCGCTGCTTGCCAGCGTAAGAAAAGTGTTCGGCGGGCGGTTCAGTAGCAGCATGTTGCAGTTTTGGCTTAGTGTTTCGGCTTTACTTCAACCCGCCCCCCGGAAACCTAGCGTCAGTTAACCCTAAACCCTAAATGAGACTTAAGGAACACCATTACAGGAACCATCCACTTCGTGAGGCCCCCATGCTGCCCTTTTTAGGCCCCAGCATTTCGGTTTAGGGTTTAGGGTTTAGAGTTTAGGGTTTATGGTCTAAGGCATTTTGTCCATCATCCCAATACCCAACTTGGAGCAACCCGAATTCCCGGGAGCTCCAAGAGCAAAACCGAAGCCACCCTCAACCCGAGCCACTCAGCGAAGCCCTAAGCCCCAAAACCCCTAAACCTCTAAACCCTTAAAGCCCCACAGCCCCAAAACCCCTGAGCCCTTTCATGCTCGCAGATGAGCGAGATGCTCGTGTCGTTTTCATGTAACAGTCGACGCAAACACCTCTCCTGGCTGACAGCAGATTATGCGTTTCACTTGGGGTAGAGTGTTCTGCATGCGTGCTCATGCACTATGCTGGGCGGTAGCTTGCATGCAAACTGCAGCTTTTTAAGCATTCCTGGTCGTGATACCCTAGTATGAACATGTAGGTCGGTTTTGGTTTAGCAGTTCAGGGATTAGTCCTGCTGCGTTTAGGGTTTTAGTGGTTTAGTGGTTTAGGGCTTGTGTTGTTCGTGTTTAGGAGCACACCTAGCCGCCATGAATCCGAATGCTGCCGTCTTCGTGCCGGGCGGCTATGTTCACAGTGCGCAGTCCGGCTGCCCAGATTCCTCGATAGTCGTCTATGGCTTAGGCTTTGATGCTGCTTTTGTTGTCGGTGCATAGCGGTGCTGTGTTTTTGTTGCTGCAACTTTGGCTGGTTGCTCTTGCTGCTGCTCATGATGATGGTGATGATGATGATGATGCTAGTGCCGATGGCGGCTGTGGTGGTGGTGGTGGTGGTGCTGCTGCTGCTGGTGCTGGTGCTGGTGCTGTGTTTTGTCGTAATGGTGACAGCAGTGACAAAGAAGATCACCGTGTCGAGTGAACAATATGATGTTCTTTATTTTACGTGCTTGCCGCGCAGATTGAAATTTGTTGTCAGGATTGCAGGAAACCCCGGTCTATTGTCAACTGTGTTGTTCAGACATCAGATGCGAACAGTGCTCGGCAGCTTCCGAACTCATGTCCGCTGTTATCATGGCGACTTCTTGCCCGTGCCATGTCGGACCTTGTCCCAAGCTGGCTCTCCGTTCGAGCTCTCCGTGGCTCCCGCTGTGGAACACGTTGTTGCGGCGGATTCACGTGGCACTTATCAGCTTGCACAAGTTTCTGATGGCTGCGATTGTCCCTAAACCCTAAAGCCCAAATCTAAACCAGAAACCCCAAGCCCAAAGCCCAAAACCCTACACCCTAAACCCTAAATCTAAACCCGAAACCCCAAGCCCCAAGCCCAAAGCCCTAAACCCTAAACCCTAAATCCACACCCGAAGCCCCATGCCCAAATCCCTGAAACCCAAAACCATAGATTCCAGCCCAAATCGTGGGTCTGTAGATCCTACAACCTCAACCTCCATCCCGAGCATCCTGGCACAGGCCTTTGGGGTCTTGGTTTTGCATGGTTTAGGGTTTAGGGTTTAGGGTTTTGGGGTCGGGATAGCGAGTAATAGTACTCCATTACATGTCGGATTTACAGTTTTAGGGGTTAGGGTCGGAAAAAAAACAATCGTATTCCATTACATGTCGGGTTTACAATTTTAGGGGTTAGGGTCGGAATACAAAAAAATCATATTCTGGTTGATGTTTTGTTGTAGTTATACTGATATTTAGCTATTCCCGCTCAGGACCCTCTCCAGGCCCCTGCATTTGCCCAGCTCGGCAGCCCTAGTATAGGGGGCCGTAATAATCACCTATACGATTTTGGGGGGTCCGCATTATTTATAGCATACTATACCCCTAAAACCCTATTCTAATTTTTTTGCAGTATAACATACACCCAAAGCCTATTCTAATTCTTAAGGCCCCTACATTAGATCCATTAGATACCCGATTCACCGACCTCCTCGAGCGAGAAAGCATTGGATCAGAGAGGGAGGCTTTCAGTCAAAGGCCTTAACGACCGCCTGTGGGAAGTTTAGGGGTTTAGTTGAGGGTTTAGTTGAGGTTTAGGGTTTAGAGTTCAGGGTTTAGTTTAGGGTTTGGAGCTTAGGGTTTAGTTTAAGGTTTAGTTTAGGGCTTAGGGTTTAGTTTAGGGCTTAGGGTTCAGTTTAGGTTTAGTTTAGGCAGGGTGTAGGGTTTAGGGCT